CTCTTAATATATGTTGAGTATTTTGTGTAAATCAGTACTTTGAAATGATAAAGACAGAAAATACTAGCTTAACAAAAAAAGAGATTCACAAACTTTTCCTAAGAATTACAATGCAATTAGTGCTATCATGACATTATATAGTACAGTATATAATGTCACTGAGGAGGAAGTGATCAGTTATTGATTACAGCCAAATATTAGCTTACTAAGCACAGATTCACAAACTTTTCCTAAGAATTACAATGGTAGTAGTGCTATCATGACATTATATAGTATATTATATGATATCACTGAGGAAGAAGTGATCAATTATCTATTACAGCCAAAGGGAGGATTCGAGGACTAAAGAATGACAGGGCCAGGAATACGTAGGAGAATTGAAGCAAGACACGAGATTGTACTGATTTAGTTACAAATGCAGTCTGCAGTAAATTTCATGTTTGTGGCAAATAAGAAAATTGATGATGAAATAATGAATCTTTCTGTGTAACTGAATGTGTTAAATGTAAAGTTTTATATTTATTCTGAAATTATCACTTTTTGTTTTGTTGTTAAAATTTCCTTTTTCTGTGAAATGGTGATTATAGTGGATACTCCACAATTTTGTTAAGAGACAAAGTCTCACTCATCACCCAGGCTATAGTGCAGTGATGTCATCGCACCTCACTGTAATCCCAAATTCCTGGGCTAGAGTAACCCTTCTCTGTAAACTCACTGTAATCTCAAACTCCTGAGCTAGAGTGACCCTTCTGAGTAGCTGGGACTACAGGCGCACCGTCATACCCCAGAAATCTCTTTGTATAATTATTAGAGACAGAATTTTGCTCTTAAGCAGGCTTGGCTCAAATTCCTAGCCTCAAGCTATACTCCTGCCTCAGCCTCCCAAAATACTATGATTATTAATTATGTTTAATTTTTTTTAAGTTTTTATTTTGCAAGCAAGAAGACACAAACAAAAACTCCAAACCAACTCTTTTCAGGTTCTCCATCTATTTTCTTTAAAAAAACAAAAACAAAA